TGATGGACTGTACTAATGGGATTTTCTTGTTTGTCTGGATTTCTGCCAGTTAGATAGTGCCTGCACTATTTTCTGTCAACTCCTCCTGGAGAAGAGCTCCTTCAGCATGGGTGTGCTACCATCTTCTCCCTTCTAACACTCGCCAGATGTGGGGGCAGGGTCCATTTTGAAGCTGACCCAGAGTCGTCATGTTTTACCGGCGTGACATTATGGGCCGCCTCTTACTGGCACAGGAATGGTGATGATTCAGGAGCACACATAAAGGGATACAGCAGCAGTCGCAAAACCACATGCCCCACTGGGTGGCCTAACCTAGATTTCTGCCCTGAAGAGGGGCTGTGGCAGGATGAGCAACCGCAGCCCATGGGCAGCAGGCCCTGTTCTCTGATTCCTCTTGCTTTCTTACTAAAATGGAGAGTTTGGGCTTGTGGGACCTTTGAACATGGATATCAAGGTCATTCAAACTTACCAGAAAACATGCTTTCTTAAAGGTTCTGTCTGTTTGTATAGTGGTGAGTGGGAGCAGGAATACATTTGCTTCCCTCTTGGTTTAAGAAAAATCAAACAGAAATGTAAATGAAAGTTGAATTCTCAACAAGTGAGTAAGAGGGGCCAGTATATTTTGACTTTGGAGGCAGGCTATGACTAGAACTCCTTCTATCCTGTGGTCCTTAAAGATGTGTTGGGCAAAGACCCTTGAGGGCAAGCAGGTGGGTAGAAACTTGGATGGCAATGTTCACCCATGTTCTCCAACCCTTGCTAGAAGTGTGCTGACTTGCTCCTCCCCTCCCCTCCTGTCCCCTCCTGTTCCCTCCCTATTCTCTCCATCCCTCCCCTCCCTTTCCCTCTCCTCCCTCTCCATCCCTCCCCTCCCTTCCTCTCCCCTCCCTCCCCCTCCCTCCCTCCCTCCCTTCCCCTCCCCTCCCTCCCCTCCCCTTCCCCTCCCCTCCCTCCCCTCCCTTCCCCTCCCCCTCCCTCCCCTCCCTTCCCCTCCCCTCCCTCCCCTCCCTTCCCCTCCCCTCCCTCCCCCTCCCTCCCCTTTCTTCCCCTCCCCTCTCCTTTCTTCCCCTCCCCTCCTCTCCCATCCCCTTCCCTTCACTCCCTCTTTGTTCCTTTTTTTCATTCTTTTGTTTTGAGAGAGGGTCTCATTCTGTCACCCAGGCTGAAGTACAGTGGTGCCATCACAGCTCACTGCAGCCTCAAACTCCTGGGCTCAAGTGATCCTCCCACCTCAGAACCCCCATCCCTGTGCCTGGCTGATTTTTGGTATTTTTATTAGAGATGGAGTTTTGCTCAGGCTGGTCTTGAACTCCTGAGCTCAAGTGATCCACCAGCCTTGGCCTCCCAAAGTGCTGGAATTTATAGACATAAACCCTCATGCCTGGCCTGGATGGCTTCTTTATAACAGAAAAAAAGAGATTATTTAGTCTTAGCCTTTTATGGTCTTGTCCAGCTGTATCAGGCATTTTAGCCATGAAATCCAAAATGTGAAAGTGACCCTTTCTTTATACTCCTATTACCTATACCTGGCATCGCTTATCTAACCTTTGCCTGCGTGACCTCTGCCCTTCCAGACTAAGAAGATCCCTCCTGTCAAGTACAGCTAGTTTTTGGGCATATCATGTTTGTATTCTGTTCTTCCAGGTGACTTCCAGGTGACAGCTCTGTGACTGTGCTTCAAGATCACCCTGTGTCTACTCCCAGAGGCCTACGCCTAGTTCTCAGGGAAGTTCCATCTCACCACAGACCTGGGAAGCAGAGAGAAGCTTGTCGCCACCCTTCCCCCACACCTTACTACTGCTTTGAACCAGTATGCTATATGGAAAGAGATAAGTAGATAAAGTCGAACCCCAAATTCCATGACCCGATAGTTTGTGCTTAAAATAAACAAAGAAGCTGATCTTTTAGTAAACAAGTTTTTATTGAACACCAATTAATTTCAAGAACATTTCAGGTACGTTGTCAAAATAAATACTCTTAAGAATGTATTATGTACCCAATAATGGTTTCTGGCCTTTACATGTATTTTCATTTTATTCTCATAAAACTCTATGAAGTAGATATTATTATCAATATTCCTATGCTACAGATGAGGAAACCCCGGCCCAGAGAGGTCAAATAACTTGACCAAGTGGCACAGCTGGAGAGTGGGGAGCTGGGACTTGAGCCCAGGTAGTTTGTCCCCAGCACCTACAGCTGAGCTCCATTCTGTACTGCCCTTTGGAACACACACTCCATGGCCTTCACCCTCCTTGTACTACTCGGGATGACGTGTGATCTCAACAGCACTCACAAAGGAAGGCGTTATAGACAGGATATTTAGAATAGTAATATCAGTCTCACGGGTAATACATTTTTAAAAAGAAAGCATATTACATACTAGTCATATGTAATAGGATGAATGCATGTATGCTACATGCTAGTAGAATTAATAGTTGGAATATAAAAATACCCTATGATGCGACTTTATTTTTTGGGTTCTCCAATTTTTTTTTTAAATTTGGCCCTCTTCTTCACTTCCATACAAGTGCCTGTGGACACAGCATGGTCTTTGTGCTGTTGCCATTTGCAACAGCAAAACAACAGCTGCCATTTCTTGAGGGCTTATATTTGGCCCTTTATAAACACTGTCTGTTTTCAACCTTACGGTCACTGAGGTTGGTATCATTGTCCCCATTATACAGATGAGTAAACTAAGACTTGCACAATGTTAACTGAGCTGCAGAGAGGATATATCACAGCTAATAAATGAGAGCGGCAGCATTCAAACCCAGGTCTGCCTGAATGCACAGACTTGTGCCAGTGAGCTCTGTGTTCTCCTCGGAGGTCACTGCAGGGGGCTCTAGGCACTTATGCTATCCCATTTGTGTCAGAATGCAGCATGTGAACACACGTCTCTATAGAATTTAAAACCCAAATGTTTACTTATTACTATCTAAGTTCCAGACACCCTATAAAAGGTACAAATCTTAAAAGGCAAATTGGAAGGACTGGTTAGAATTCTCCCTCAGTAAAAGGTAGCAATTATGAGAACTTAACTCACTGCAGCTTCCATCTCCTGGGCTCAAGTGATCTTGCTGCCTCAGCATCCCAGGTAGCTAGGACTATAGGTATTTACCACTATACCCAGCTAATTAGAAAATATTTTTTTTTTGTTAGAAATAGCATCTTGCTATATTGACCAGGCTGATCTGAAACTCCTGGCCTAAAGTGATCCCCTGTTTCAGCCTCCCTAGATGCTGGGATTTTAGGCATGAGCCACTGTGTCTGGTGTGACAGGTACTATTATCCCCATTCTACAGATCAGAGAACTGAGAAATGCACATTGCTTAGTGAGTAGGTATCTTGGACTGAATAGATCAATAGAGACTTGATGACACATAATGTGCTAGGTGTATTTGGTGGGATAGGTAAAAAGAATTATGCCTTGGAACAGCCATGCTCTGACTTGGCACTCAATTGGATCACTCCATATTTACATGTCTAATTTCTTTCCTTAGACTGTTAGCTCCTGGTAAGCAGGAGCCCTGTCTTCTGTGTCTCAAGCTCATCCCCTGACTGGCTTAGGGTTGGCACAAACTCCATCCTCCAACTCTTTCCTGACTCTGTGTGTGTCAAAAGCATGTGAGTGGCTGCGGTTGTGAGTGCAAAAACATGTAACACTGTGTGTTGAACATTAAAATCTTGCTCACTTTTGACTCCAGGACTCTTTGCTTCCTTCCTGGGGGCATGAGAGTATGGTGAAAAAAACAAAATTGTTTTCTTAAGGAAAGTTTTAGTAGGTAATTTCAGCCACAGGTGAATCTTTCTGTTTTTCCAAGGACTGGGCATTGCCAGCCCTGCTGTAGCTGGTTGAAGGGGACCAAACCTCTCAGGAAGACGGACTTGGTTCCGTTTGACCAGCCAGAGCAAGGGGCATCTATCTTCGGAGGTGACTGCAGCCTCTAGTGTGTAGGTACCTTGGTGTGTCTCAGGCATCAGTTGTCCAAGCCTGTAATGCAGAAAGAAACAGCATTAGCATCTGTCAAACTCCAGGAGCTTGCCTTGCCCAGAATGTCTTTGCACATGATTTGTACATACATCTCATATGATTTCTACATACAAATCATACATAATTTGTATTTTGTGTTGCATGGCTTCAATTAATTTTTTTCTTTAATCTTTATTATTTTTTCAAATAGGAACATCATGAAAAACAAATATGACATGGAATTATAGAATATGGAAAATGATAGTATGCCATACTTCTTCCTCTTCCCATTTTCCAAAAGAGATGTAACATTTTGGCATATATTCTTTGTTTAACATTTTTAAAACTTTATTTTTAATTCAGATATGATATCGTTATAAAGAGTATTTATAATATGTAAGTGATGGTGCATAATGGTAAAACCAATACCCATGAACAACGATCTACTTTTTCTTTTTTGAGACAGTCTAGCTCTGTCGCCTAGGCTGGAGTGCAGAGGTGTGATCTGGCTTACTGCAACCTCTGTCTCCTGTTTCAAGCGATTCTCCTGCCTCAGCCTCGGGAGTAGATGGGATTACAGGCATCTGCCACTACTCCTGCCTGTTTTTGTATTTTTATTAGAGATGGGATTTTTCCTTGTTGGCCAGGCTGGTCTCAAATCCCTGACATCAGGTGATCCGCCCACCTCAGCCTTTCAAAGTGCTGTGATTTCAGCTGTGAGCCACCATGCCTGGTCCAACAATCTACCTTTTAAAAAGAACTATTTTTTTAAAGCTGTTTTATACTGTTGCTTTCTTTGTACTGAATGCTTTTTCCAATTTGTTTCTTTATGTTTCCTCCAGAGGTAACTATCATACTGAATTTATTTTTTCTTATAATTTTAATATTTTTATTCATAGTTTTTACCATTTGTGCATATATTTCCAAACAATATATATGCATATTTTAGTGTATAATAGCATCATATCATAGGTATTACTCTGTGACTTGATATTTTCATTTAAAATGATATTTGCAAGATTCATCCATATTGATGTGGTAGCAGCAGTTTATTAATTTTCATTGCTTTACGGTTTCTACTATGTGAATATCCTATAATCTATTTATTCTCCCAGCCACAGACATTGAGGTTGTTTGGTTTAACAAGAGGGTAGCATTGACTAAACTGTTTGTCAAAGGAGGTGGGGAAATCTTTGATTCTTACAGATTTTAAAGGAGAATTCTGGATTTGCAGGTTGGTCTTGTAAAAGAATGACAACACTCACCAGCCCCAAACATCTGGAAGTAGAGCCCAGAAATTAGTGCCATAACCTGCCCTAAAGTTTGAGAACTACTTAACTAACAGGAGTACCCACTGGTTTCTCTCTGTTTCTAGGGAGGTGTGAGCAGGGGGAGAGAGCTGACCAAGAAGAAGACACTCCCAGAAAGGTGGCCTGCCCGTCTTCACAATGTATGGGAGCAGGTGGGAAAAGAGGCTGGCAGAAAGGCTAGTTTGAATGATGCTAGAAAATTGTCCTTCTCCCTTGGGGCTAGGTGTTGTGGCCCTTTCATTTTCTTTTCCTGATGAAGAAAGTAAAATTAAGAGGAATGCATGTGGCCTTGGAGTCACACTTATCTGGGTTCAAACCCCGCGAATGCTTCTTTGGCTCTTTGGCGTTCAGGAAGTTACAGAACATCTTGTAACCTGAGTTTCTACATCTGTACAGCAGGAGAACATTGTATCTACTCTGCCCACTTGTTTCAAGGCTTAATGACAATGAAGGAAAGGTGCACTGAGTCCCCAGGGGGCACAATGGACAGTGCCATGGGTGTGGGAAAGTTCTAGGGACAATACTGACAGCTTTGGAGGCCAAGAGTTTCACTCTCAACTCCAGCCTTGTCCTTCACACGTTTCCCTTCCTCAGCTGCAAGTGGTTGCGTTTCATCATTGAAGTATTTGAAACTGCTGGTCAGGAAACACAGTACGAGTTTAACCAGCCAAGCTGACTTCTGCAAGGTGGACTACAGCTTGGGAGCTCTGTATGAAATAATCAAGATATCCCAGACATCGAAGCCCTCAATAAGGCACTGTAGAAATGGCAACAAGGTAAAAGCCCACAGTGATGGTGGTGGTGAGAAAGCAGGGCACCACAGAACGTGACTTGGTTCTAGAATGGTCTATGCAGGGTTACGTTGAAGCTTCTGTCTTGGCATGAGTCCTCTCCGCCTTGGTGTGCATCCTCCTGGCCCTATAGTCTGGGCATCTTACCTTTTCCCTCCTCCTGCCAGTGACATAGCTGTCTTGATGCTGCTGCCTGCCAGCTCTTTCTCTGGCTAACCTCTGCTCCTTCTCCAGCTTTTCCTGGGGAGCAAGGGAGCAGGCAGCTGTAGGGGCAGAGGGCAGCCCGATGGTCTGAAATCAGGACTGAAAAGCATGTGTGTCCAGCTCGCCGGCCAGAATAACAAGCCTCTTTTTGTGCAGTTTCTGCACACTTGCTCCCACCGTCTCTCTCTTCTTTACTCATGCCCTGCTTCACCCCCAGCAGTACAGCCACCAATACAACATACCCCCAGTTTCTGAGCAGAGGACATGAAATCAATCTCCAGGGTAGGAAAAGGAAGTGTATCATTAGAACACGTATGATTTAGAAAAGGGAAATTGTCAGCAGAAAGAAGCACAACCTTGAGTGATCTGCCTGTTTTACAGACACGGAGACCAAAGTTTTTAGAATAAAGGACAGTACTTTCATTGGAAAATATAATGTGCCATAATATGTCAATGTCAGAGACTTCATTTATTCAAAGCACCACTATCAAAAAAGCCAGGTTTCTCGATCTTAGCATATTGACATTTTGGGCTGGATAATTTCTTTGCTGTGTTTTGGGGGGTGGGGTTTGTTCTGTGCATTGTAGGATGTTTAGCAGCATCCCTAGTCCCCACCTCCTAGATGCCAGGAACCCCTAAGTTGTGACAATTGAGACTGTCTCTAGACACTGTCAAATGCTCCTGGGTAATGACATTGTCTCCAATAGTAGGACCACTAATCTAAAGTGAGAAGTCTCGGTGCTTAGTTTTTTAGGAGACCCATCTCTAGTAATTTACCATGTCCTTCCAAGTTCCTTCCACCACCCCCCTCAAAGTATAGGTTTTATGCTCTTAAAGGCCATTAGACAATTCTCTGCTTTCTGGAAGAGGTGGGAGGCTTGTGTCATGAGTGTTGCTGAGTCCAGTTTGTGAAAAGGGAGCCTTGGCCCAGTGTTCTGGGTGCTGTCGCCTCTGAGGGCCAGGGGCCTCTCATCACCAGCTGCTCTGCACTCTTCTGCCATCTCTGTGCAAACATGGTGCATCCTCCCTTCTTCCTTCCCTTTCCTCCTCTCCTGTGTCCTTGTTCTGCTGCTGCTCAGTTTCATTTCACAGCCCTGTCTTGTGCATCTCTTTACACTTCGGTCAAATCCTCTCAGGTTTCCTTTTGTGGTTTTGCTTAAGAACTCATGGTGTAAACTTAGTGTGGTACCAGACATAATCTCTCACATGCACTCACCCTACAAAAAGGAGGTAGAGCTGTGGGATGCAGGAGCCATCCTGAAACTGGAGTGTGAGGGAGGGAGTTTCCTCCCTTGTTCTGAAACTCTTTGTGGGGTGATGGCATGAGCCTTGGGTGACTGCAGCCTTCCCTCCTGCTCAGGGCTTCCCTCTGTAGGTTCAGCACTTTCTTGGTGTGGGCTCAAGTCCTTTGGAGTCAGAGCTGGGAACACAGAGGTTTAGGGAAGAGTGGAGAAAGGAACTATCCCATTAGCTGAGTGAATCACTACTTTAGCATCTCAAGGCTTTTCCTCAAACAGTCTTGCAGAGTCCATTTGGGACAGGGCTGTGCTGCAAAGTGGAAAGAACAGCAGAGCAGAGTCAGGGGATTGTAACCCAGGATGAGTTGTTTTCTGTGGTTTCCTGAACCTCACTCACAGCACCTGCCTCTGTACAATGAAAGCCCTGAGAAATGCCTGTGAAACATATGGCTTGAAAGAAATGATGATTCAGTTTGGTTGTGGAAACCTCTCATTTCAGGAGCTATATGACCAGAGGAAGGAGCTAGGAGGGTGAGGGCTGATTCTATGAAAATCCTTTGGGGGAAAAGCCTTTCCCCACCACGCTGGCCTGAGTAGCCAGATCTGGGAGGCTGGTCACAGCAGTCAAGTGTGTCTGAAACCTTGGGCTGAGCGAGGACACCTCAAGAAGGGGAGAAAGGGGTGCTCAGGAGGAGCCCAGATGGGATTCAAAGGCTCTTGCTTCCATTTGCTGGCACAAAGCCCTGATGAGGAAGAAGGTCACCAAGCCCGTGCTCCGGGTGGTACCCTGGGATTAGCGAGGAGGCACTTGCCGAAACCACACACTTCCTTACATTCCATAGCAAAGTAATCCATATGGGGATATAAAGAAGCATGTGGTCTCGGGAAGCAGTGTCATCCAGAAGCAGCCTGCATCTCAGACATGGGCCACTTGTAGCATCTTTCCTCCTTGCTGCGGCAGGAACCGCTTAGCAGGAAGGGTCACTGGGATCTCAACTCATCCTAAATTCCTGGCCCTCCCCCACCCCACCAAACCATCCTGAAATAAATCTGTTGCAAGGAATGGCAGTGCTGCTTGGGACCAAATCTTCCCCTGCTGTTTGTTCACAGGTAAATGGCATCAAGTATCCCTGGCTTATTCTCATGCAGCCACAGTCTATCAAATCCTTTGTTGTTACTACTAATTAATTCACTGCTGCTGCTTTTGTGCATTTTGATGTGATTCTTTTTTAATGTTTGGGATCCAGTGAAGGAAAAATCACAAATATTCTGCATTCATGCAGGGAGCCACTCATGCTTAGAAGCACACCTGGCCCTCCTGTACTTCCTACTGTACATCTGTCTGTCTTGGGTGCTTGTTGATGGCGGCAGCTGCCCATGCAGCATTCCAAGCACAAATTGTTCTTTGTGGGAAGGATCCTTTTGTCAGGCTTCTGCTCTCCCTAGCCCATCACCTGCCCCACAGTCTGTGAGGCCTGAGCCACAGAAGGGTGAGGGACATTGGCAGCTGTTGAGCCACTCAGGGTCTGGACGGCCACCCTGGCTCGAAGGAGATGGAGTTTTGAAATTCATGGTATCCGATTCTCTGCCAGAAAATGGGGAAAAGGATGCCAAAGGGAAGAGTTGCCCCCCCCAAAAAGGCCTGAGGCTCACAGCACTGGCTGTGGTGGTTAAAAACATCTAACCCCAGTAATAAAAATAAGAGGTAACTTTTTATAAGTATGCTTTCTATAACAGGATCATTTCAGTGCTTTGCCTATGTGAGCTCCTTGAATCCTACTTACTCTATGAAATGTAGCAATTTTATCTGATTTTACAGAGGAGAAAAATGAAGATTGTAGAAATGAATTAATCAACATATTTGTAAATGGTAATTCTTTTAAAAAAAACTAATCAGATTGGAGACACAGTTTTGGATTAACCCATGGAGAGAGGCTTAGAAAAAAAAAATGTTGAGAAGGAAGGAAAGAAAATTCTATGGGTTTTGACTTGGTGTACCTTTATCCTTTTGTGACTTTGTGTTTGGGGTGTTGCTGATGGAAGTGGCATAGAAACCATACTGTTTCTTAGGAAAATAGGAAAATGTCTCTGGCATACCAGTCAAAATCTTTCAAGCTGATGTTGGGAATCATTCAATGGTCATTTAATCCCATCTAATGGCTATATAAGCCTCTGCTCTGAAAACACTGTTTTCTCCCTTTGTCAAGTATGGGCTTCATAGAAGTGAGAGTTTGGGGTTACCCTTCCTCCTCTAAGTTTGGGAACAGTGGACAACCGAAAACACTGTTTTATCAGGGGCTGATAGCAGGAGGCAGCTTGGTCAACAGAGGAAAGAGATGTGGCTGTGCCTCTGAGAAATTAAAATTTTTCATTTTTTTTTTTAACAGAACCAGTGAACTTAAGAGCTGAGTAAATGTCCATTTTATCTAGTTACACCTGTCAGATGGAGATCCTCCATAAGTGTTTGGCAAGTGAGTAGTGAGGAGTGAGGATTAGCACCGATGAGAGGAACCATTGAGTTTTATGTTCAAAGAACTAGAAAAAGCCAGCTTTAAGAGACTTGCTATCCATGAGCCAGAATGAACTTCATAAACTCATGTAAGAATACAAAAGAAAAAGATTTTCAGGGAAAATAGTTGAGATAGCCAAGAGAGTACAAACTATCCCATCAGACTGTCCCCAACATTTGGGTGTGAATTGTTTTGACTTTGCCAAGTCTAACTTTGTAGGGCGAAAAGATTACTTAAAAGTTTACTGCAAAATCTGCAGGAGAAAAACAAATGTTAGTAACCGATTGCTTGACAATTTAGGAGTCCAGGCAACTAAATTCCTTTTTTTTTTTTTGAGATGGAGTTTCACTCTTGTTACCCAGACTGGAGTGCAATGGCGCGATCTCGGCTCACCACAACCTCCGCCTCCTGGGTTCAAGCAATTCTCCTGCCTCAGCCTCCTGAGTAGCTGGGACGACAGGCGCACACCACCATGCCCAGCTAAGTTTTGTATTTTTAGTAGAGATGGGATTTCACCTTGTTGACCAGGATGGTCTCGATCTCTTGACCTCGTGATCCACCCGCCTCAGCCTCCCAAAGTGCTGGGATTATAGGCATGAGCCACCACACCTGGCTAAATTCTTATAAATTTAGAATGCAGAGAGAATTTTGGTATTCTAGAGAAAGTTTGGCAGTCAAGAGAAAGTTTGAAATGGGAATATCTGTGATGAAAGCCTTGTCTACACCTTCCTCCCATTTTCCTGGACATTTAGCTTAAGATACAAGGAAGAAAAGTCATGAAAGACAAGTTATGACAAAACCAACATATTTTAGACAGGACAAAATAGTAGGAATAAAAAATCTAGGATGGAGAACACAAAGACACATTTCTCTGTGCTTTGTATATAGAAAAGGGCATCTATATGGCAATTGGATGTGGGATTTTTCCAGGTTATTTATTTGGTTTCCTATCTACCCAAATATTTTGACTTTAGTAGGTACTATTAATGGAAAGAATTGGGCGATGTGGTGTGTCACTTGGCCACTTGTGTTCTGGGTGATATTGACCAAATCACCAGCTTTCTGTTCTCACTCCTATACCAAATCCCATGCCACTTATCTGTAAATAGCAGTTGTGTCCCCAGCTGCCCACCAAAGAATGGGTTGAAGATTAATGAGATAACACATGTGAATATCCTGAGTTTCTTAGGAGAATGGGCCAATGGCAATATAAAATGTCATTCAACATGTTATTGAAAACAAGATTTATTCTGCACCCCAGCCCTGCCTCATAATCAGACAACTTAAATTACTAACATGTCCTTTCCCTTGTTCTGAGAAGTAAGCACCATTTAAAAGCGTTCCAGACTTAAGTAACCATGAAAAAGTAGCCTCAAAAGCAGAAACAGCAAATAATGGTTCTTTTTCAGTTTATTTTGCTGAGCACGGCAGTGTTTGAACATAAATGACTCAACAAATTAAAAAGACAGGAGGATGCTCATTTCTCATTAATAGTCCTTAGAAAGCCTGTTGGATTTGGGTAAAATTAAGGACAGGTTAAGACTGAGGGAAGTCTGAGTTATAGACAAACACAATGTTGCAATCTTCAAGGTTATTGGCCATGGAGTGGTTCAGGGAGAAGCAGCATTTCTTGGACATCTGTGACTTGAGCAAGCTACTTAACTTCTTTCAGTCTCAGTTTCCTCATCTGTAAAGTGCAGCCAATAGTGCTTCCTCAATGGGAGGAATTAGGTTTATGTAATGTGCCATGAGCATAGTATTTGAAGTCTAACAAATAGCCTCTATTACTATTATTATCTATTACTAATATACAATCAACATAATAATGAGCTTAATAATCACGTGTTATTCATTAATATGCAATTAACATATTAATTAGTATTAATCCATCAATGGAATCTACTTACTACATAGAAATCCTTATATTTCGTTTACTTTAAAGGGTTTCATTAACATGACAATTGTTTTTTATGTAAGGGGTAATTCAAAGATACTTGAGAAAGATAAATATTATCAGAAACATGTCTTTCACAGTTTTGGTATGCTTTTAAAAATATTTAAAAACATTTTTATATATGTTAAAAGGATTTGTTAAGGAAAGGTATTCATCAGTATCATTTCTGACAAGAATCTTTACAGGTTCTGAATGTCCAGGTTGCTAGTCTCACTTTTAGGAGTTTTGTGAAAGGATATATGTGATGAGATGCTCAGACTGTCCCCTTACTGGCCACATGGTATTTTCCCTCTGATGTTAGATCTGACCTTAGTTTGTCTATTCTTTGCTGGTGAGGATAGAAAACCAGGATTCTGTGCAGAACAATCACCCGTAGCTGCCTCTCTGAATTTCTAATACAGGCATCTTAGCTCTCCTTATTCCATCTCTGCCCCTGGTGAAGCTTGGAAGTTTTAAACAACTGATACTAATGTGCTAAAATATAATCAGAATTGCATACTTTTATGGGAATTAGAACCCTACTAGTGTCTGCAGAAGGCGTGGCCTGCACTGATGCACCCACTTCAAAGTCTGACGTCTTATGACATTAAGTGCTGGTATCTATTCCTGGTGTTCTTGGTGGCTGTCCATGAAATAGAAGTGATTCTGCTACTCATCAAGTAAAAGCCAAATTATTTGAGGCTTTCCATCATCCTGAGAAGGTTGGAAATAAAGTAGAGGTCCCTCCTTTTAAGGCAAGCATGGGGTTGTATGTTGGGGAAAGACCTTATTTTTTTTGGGCTCAGCCAGAATGTCTTGCTATTTTTAGAGAACAGGCCAGTTCTGAATGTTGTTTTGATCACAGGCATGAGTCCCATTTAACTTCCCAGGGACAGCCAAGAGCAGTGCCAGCACCAAGAGCAGTGCCAGCTCCAAGAGCCCACCTTCTCTTCCTGTTGGCATTCTGCCACTTTCCCCAGAAGAGGTATCAGTGGCATTTCACCATCACAGTTGTCCTTGCCCTGCTTCTCATCCACAAGAATTGAAGCTGGAACTTCAGGAGAGAGTAGGGCAAGGGAAGGAGAGGGAGCCAACATTATACTAAGCCACTTATTTAGAGGATTCATGCTTACAACAATCTCATGAAAGGCATTTTATTACACAGGATAAAACTGTCTCAAGCAGGCTAAGTAATCCGGAGACAGAGTGGCTAAGAAACTTGCCAAAATCATTCAGCAAGTAAATGGCAGACTTTTGACTTGATGTTACTCTCTAACCCAAAGCATACATTCGCTCTAATATGCTGTATTAAACCTTGCCTGATTCTTGGTGTGTCTGAGGCACTTATTAAAATCCCTGCTCCCTGGTAGGGGAGCACGCCACTCTAGAGCCATGGATCAGAATCTCCAAGGTAATAGTTGGGGATCTACCTTTTAAGCAGTCACTCCTAGGTGACTTCTATGCTTGGCAAAGTTAGGAAAGAACGGCTCTAGGACAGTTGCTTTCATGCATGAGGGAACATTAGAATCCCAAGTTTCTATGCAGATTCTTCTGACTTGATCTTCACTGACTTGATCTGACAGGCAGTGAGATAAGTGACTTGGGTCAGGGCGCAGGAACCTACATTTTTGCACACCACCATCCTCCCCACCCCTGCCATTTTAGTCTGTTACAAGTGGCCAGAAGACTTTGAAAAACATTGATCTAAAAACAAACAAGAAAAAGGGATATGGATTCTACAGTAATAAAATCATGAATCCTGGAAAGGACTCACTTCACAATAGTCCAAAGAAAATAACTTAGTTTGGATTAAAGGATGAATTTCTGCAAACATGGTGATAAATGGTTAGACCCAGAACAGGGTGATCCCTCTGTACAACATGAGTAGTCAACATCTTAGTGACAGAAATGCTACAACTGACCACTAATCTCTTACCTTTCCCATATCCCCTAGGCTCAGTTTCCACCAGGAATATTCTTTTCCTTTGCCCATTTCACTAGTTAAAATTACTTTCTTTAAGGTTTACTTCAAAAACCACTTTCTTCCCAAAATTTTCTCTCAATTCTCTTCCTTGTGTTAGTTCCTATATCTGTAATTGGGCATGAATCACATCTTATCTTGCATCTAATTCCTCGTGTACGTGTCATGCATATATATCTCTTCTCCTAGAGGGCCAGCACTCTGACTGCTTCATGTTTGATTTCTCAACCACCTGCCAAAGGCCTTTAGCACAGTAAGAGTCAAATGGATAAAGCTACCACCACTATCACCACCCTTACAGAACACTTACAGTGTGCGGGTCCTGTTCTAAGCATTGTAACAAGTATATTAGAAATAGTTCTATTTTACAGATGGAGGGACTGAGGAACTGAGAGGTTGGTATTTTTTGTTGTTGTTGTTGTTGTTGTTGGAAGGTCTCTTTTACAAGCTCTAGCTCTGTAGATGATCAGCATGTAAGGAGATCTGAATACTGTGGATTCCAGGAAGAGCTCCTTAAAAACTCTTAACCTTCCGATTAATTTAGTGCATCAATTAGGTGGACAACTTGCTGAAACACAGGCTGCTGAGTCTTATCCCCAGAGTTTCTGATTCAGGAACTGGGGGTAGGAACAGCATGTTCCCAGGTAATGCTGGTGCTGCTGATCTGGGGTCCATACTCTGAGAACCACTGCTCTAGGTTAATGTTTCTGACACTCCACAGTTTGAGGGCAAAAAATTGGTCCTTATATTCTGAGCTTCCTAAAAGCAAAGAGATGAGGGGGAGGAATAGAAGTTAGGAAGGTGTGAACCCTTTCCAAGGGCGTGGTTGTAGGTGCTTTCCCTGATGAGAGTGTAGACCGGCAGTCAGCACTCCAAACACTGCTGGAAGTCACTTGGTGTTTTTGGCTTGAGCAGTTGCTTGTCACCAGGAGTGATTTCATTGGTTTCCAAATTTTACCAGTAAGCCTTCTGTGAGTTTTGGTGAAGAATGAGTATAAAATGAGATGTGTATTTTTCTTGAGAAGATAGCTCAGCAGAGTCCACTGACTCACTTAACTTTTTATCACATTTGCAGCAAGATTATAAAGATAATATAATACAATGTAATAATACAGAATAATGATGGTTTTAATTATAGCTCCCAAAGCTCTTATTTAAAAAGCTTTTTAAAATTTTTTTATCTGCACCTATTAAATTGAGTGAGGATTAAAATTGCTTAAGGTCCAGGGACCAAGTCAGAAGCATGGGGTTCTTGTCCTAGTTTTCCAAATAAATACATTGCTCAGGGACTTAATTTCTTAGTGGAATAGTGAGTTTCGGATGGGGTGATCCAAAAACTCATCCCCATTCAGAAACTGAATATTTGAGATAAGTTATATATTAAAAGTAAATTCCTTTGAGTTGTTTGGGAAAAAAATTCAATCGATATTCAAAATACTTTGCCAAGGCATTCAAAGGACAAGACACAATTTCAAGGTCACATGCTGTCAGATTTTTTTATCCATCTCTCCTAACACCAATAGCTGGATTACTTTGAAATCTCTCCCCTCTGGAGCTGCCCTTCATTGTCCCTCTGTCTTCCAGGCCCACCCTCCTACCCCTCTGCTTTGCTTCAAGCCCCAGCACCCAGAAGCAAGTCCACTCTTCAATACTGGCCAACAAGTCATTCTCATGCACTGAGCCTGGGGGTGGGGGGGGCCCTTCTCTTATTCATTTCCTGATGCCTGGCTCTGCCTGTCAGATCTGGACTCCAGCTGTCCTCCCCCGCTGTCTGAGATGCAGAACTTGGAGCTTCACCTGCTTCGATAGACACTGCCTTGCTGGCTTCAGATGACAGAAGCAGATCGCCCGCAGGGCTTCCCAAAAATTCACAAAGAAAGAAAGACAGATGGGCAAGGCAGGAACAGCCAGAGGACAATTAGAGGAGAAAGCAGCGCGCCGGGAAAGCTCAGCACATACCTGGGGAAAAGTTGCAGGCGGGTCCCTCCTCCTCTCTGGGCTTCCTTCCCAGCAGGCTTCGGTCCCCACTGAGGTGTTTAGGATGTGGGTAGTTATTTACTTATTTATTTATTTTCCAGAGCTGGCAGTGTTGGCTCGCATTTCTATGCCTTCCTGTCAGAATTCTCTCAAGGAAACGGCAGCTGGTGAGCTCAGAAATGTCAGTCAGAATCTTGGCCTAGTTTGGGGACTTGAAGATTCTTACAGAAAGTTAAAAAGGTTTCTGGGCCAGTGTCTCCTTTGGGTTTTCCCTCTTTTGCTTCTCACCTTTTCCATCTTCTATTTTTTTCATTTTACCCCAGTAGCTAGCTACTTAAATTGCCTGCTTCTGTCTTTCCGATGGTCCCCTCTTGGGTACGGTTGTGGCTCTTCTTCTGACTCAGCCTAACAGCCTGGTGATTTTCTGAGGATTCATATCAGTACTTGGACATTCATTGCTTATTTCATCTTCTTATTTATTCCCTTTTCCCCTTTCCTCCCTCTCCTTTCACTCTTATCTTTGTAATCGGTATCCTTCTAGTCACACACAGAGAAATCATCTTCATCTGTCCTTTATGTGCATTTCCTATCCTCAGTGAATAGGCTGTCATTCCCCCATTTGTGCCCTGTCCACCCATTTCTCCACTTGGATCCTGTCCACATGTGACCTAGCTACAGCTCCTCTCCCCTCCTCCCTTCTCCTCTCCTCTCCTCTCTTCTCCTCTAATCTCCCCTCCTCTCCTCTAACCTCCCCTTCTCTCCTCTCCTCTAACCTCCCCTCTTCTCCTCTCCTCTCCTCTCACCTCCCCTCTTCTTCTCTCCTCTCCTCTCCTCTCACCTCCCCTCTTCTCCTCTCCTCTCCTCCTCGGGCAGTTTCACTCCCTGCCTCCTCTTGTTTCTGCTCTCCTAAGGGAGCTCCTCCTTTTGTACTCTCCAGCCCTCTGCCCACCCCCAGCACACTCTCCCACCTGTTTGTGTCTTTTAAGGGACTTGGTCCTGTCCATGCCTTCTGTCCACCTCAATCACCCAGTGACGGGCCTCTGAAAGCTGTTAAATTACACCTCTTCAGCTGTCCCATTGCAAGGAGAAACCATCTCTGCTAAATCCTTTTTCAGATAGGCAAATCTATATTAATGCCTCTGTTGATGGAATACACTGAAATGATGCATGTGTTATTTTAAAGAGTAAGAACATTAATGTTTTCAAACGAATGAATCTCTATCTCTTGATATTGGGGTTCTTTTAGGTTGTATAAGTATAAACGACCTCAGATACAACTCTTCAAGCTTGTTAATAACTTATTTGGGCCATTTTTCAAGTGGGAGGTAGTTGTAGTGGAGTTATGGAAAACATGGGTAGTTTGGGGCTTGACTGGATGCTCGATAACATGTATTTAGTGACTGCCTGTCAAGTCACAGTGTACCATATTAAGTGCTAGAAATAAGGTGTTTATGTTCCCTGCTCTTGAGAGACTTACAGGCTCTTTTGGGGATAAGACTTGAATTTGGGGGAAATACACGTACATACACATACACAAATATAAAGTATAATAATTACAGACTGATAAAATGGAAAATAAGCACTACTGGCATCCAGAAGCAGAGATTAGTAAGTGATGGGCCAGGTAGTAAAGGCTTCGTGGAGGAGATGGGTTTCCGCTAGGTCCTGAATGATAGAGAGAGTTTATGTGTTTATATATATATATATATATATATATATATATATATATATGGAGAGAGAGAGAGAGAGAGAGAGAGAGAGAGAGAGAGAGAGAGAGAGAGGGAGGAAAGGGCCTTCTCAGATGTGGGAACAGCTTGAGCAAAGACATAGAGGCAGGAATGAGCAGAGTGTGCTCAGGAAATACTGATTAACCTGTGGCTGGATCCAACCTTTGTGAAGGGGTCAGCCTGGGGAAGGCCTCCAGCATAAAGAGCCAGCCATTCTGGGAAAGTATACTCGTGGAAGGAGATGACAATTTTTTAAAGAGTTCCTTTAGACTACAAACTTATCTTTAAAAAGAGTAGTGCTATTTTGTTTTGATATAGTTTCTGTAAATGTGTATGAATTTGGATGGTTTGATAATTATTATTTGAATAATCATGGTATGAAATTTGTTGCTATTGAATATTCAGAGTGAAATAGACATTTCTCTCCAATCCTCAGAATATTAAGTCTTATTATTATTTTTTCTGGCATGTGTTACTGAAGATCTGCTGTTATAAATGTAGAAAACTGCTAGCCCCACTCATTCACAGTCTATCACTGGTTCTGTCTCCCTCACATAGTTGGCCTTAAAGTCTACTCAACATCACTTTTTCCACCTACTGAAAGCTTGATTCCACCTTGGCTGGATTGTGCATTTGTAATGGGTCTAGATACACCTTAACATGCCGTTATCCTGTTTAATTTTTTAAACAATTTCTTTTTATGTAAGTCTAGAATTCACAACACTGTAAACTTCTGGAGGTCAAGTTTATACTTATTTTGATTTATTCTCTTGTTTGCAGCACAATATGAGGACACAGTGGCCTTCCAACGAATGGTTGTTAAAGTCAGATTGGATCAAAAGGGTTTCTAAAAGACTAAAACTCTGCAACAGAATACAAAATACAAACCCAACAGTCATGTTACTAATAGGAGGATAAACATCTTCTGAATATTGTGTCAAGCCTTTAGTTCTTCTGAGATTTTTCTCAGGTGAAAAGAGGGAACTGATGTTAATGTAATAATTTATCTATATATAGGATCATACTTTAGGCTTTCAAGTCACAAATTCTTATGAGTCTCATGCACTATTTTGAGTGAGTAAGCCAAAGGTATTGATATTCAAATTTGGAAGATGAAGAATTAGAGATACACAGCAATGAGCAGACTTGCTAAGGGCCACATGGAAACCGATGAGATCATCTATTGAAAAATATGGGATCGAATTCAAGCCTTAGGATTCCTCATTAAATCTTTTTTCACCTCAGCACATTTTAGGTCAGAAATTTTGACTTCCTGATAAAGAACTACTTTTGTGTTCTCTAAATTCTTATGTAAATCAGGTTGATTTTAAAATGATGCAATGTTTGGGAGTGAAAGTGAGGAGTGGGATCTCTTCTGAGGTCTTTCCCAGTGAGATGATCTTCCCCGTGGAAATCTCCAGAAGCCAGGAAAAAGGTTAAATTAGAGCTGGCCTGAGCAAGAAGAATTCTTCAGGACAATCTTACTTAGTTACTTACTCACTTAGTATGTTAGGAAACCAAAGTCCAGTTTAGCAATGAGTCTTGCCCTTAGTCACAGAACCAGCATCTCCTGACTCCTAGGTAACTGTGCTTTTTGTATTACACACGGGCATCATGATTGTCTCCTGTTTGGTCATGAGCCTCTTGAAGAGGCTTCTCTTCCCCAAGGCCACCACTGGGACAGGGTGATAGTAGTGAAGGGAGTACTCGAGCTGTCTTATTTGTGGCTTAAGGCTAACTCTTAGAGCCCTACAATAGTGAGCAGAAACTGGGTGAAAAAAACCCGTAACTGTGGGAATGGGGGAATGCAGAAAACAGACTGTTCCATTTTAAAAACAGTTTTAATGCTTTATAGTGGGTTCAGCCACTGACTTTTATAAGGGTGATAGTAATAATACTGAAATCATGGGATGATAATAATAAATCCTTTCAGATGCTGCCAGAACTACATATTGCAGGCTTTAGATGCCAGTGGGCAGCTGCTTGGCTAAATGTGGCCCCCAGTTGTCAAGGAGAGACCCACCCCAATACAGTAGAAACAGATCAACAAGTATTTGCAGGGCACAAACAGGGCAGAGCCCCTTGGAGGTGAAGGCTTCAATTTAGACATCATCTCTGCTTTTAAGGAATTAGCAATTTGAAAATGTGCTCAAAATGTCAAGTTTGATGTAGATACATGTATGGCTCCACGAACTGGCTTGTGTAGACCAGAGATAAACTCATATATCATGAGCCCTAGTTGATTATCCTGCCTCTAACCAAATGGTTGACAGCTGTCAGTGTTGTGGAGCTGGATACCAATGAAGATAGTGTCAGAAGTTAACTTCTGTTAACTTTTTTGTTTGCAAGATGGTTTAGTTTTCTTGAACTAGAAGGCAGGGTTTGCAATTACTGTGTAATTGCCAGAAGTCATTGATTCTCACCTTAATGTCCTCTTCTAAAATCCAGAGGTAATAATAACCCAGTCACCTCTCTTACTAGGTTTGTTTGGAAGATTTAAATGCAACAGCTTCTTTGGTTTTTGTGTTGGTTGTTTTAGTTGTCCTTTGGATGGGTAAGCAGTAAGTAGTGTGATGAAGGCACAGAGATCAGTTTGGGTTTCATGCAGGTAGATTCAGCAGTAGATGGAGTTTGAGGCATTTACTTACAATTATACATTTTAAGGGGACATCCAGTCTGGGCTTCTCATTGTGTAGTAAGGAAATGAGGTCTTGAGAATTAAAATTTTTTCCCCCATTGGCAGTCTTGGGATATGTTATGATGTTACAGAGTCTGCCAGGTTTTCCTCGTGACCAAGTGAGAGCAAGTGAGATAATGATTGTAAAAGTTATCCATCAGCAGCAGAATGCTACACAAATGTGAAGTGTTATTTTATTGAAATGTGTCCCCCAAAGCCTGTGATTGCAGAAAACTGACACTCTGGGTGATGGCAGAGCTGTGGGGTCTTGGACACCAGCTGTTCCCCAAGAGGTTTTCCCAGCTGCTGCTAAGGGCAACCCTGCGGTGGAGGAGTCCAGAAGTGGATATTCCGAGAGCACAGACTTCATATGGGATTGGGCCAAAGCAGGTCAAAGGCAAAACAGTTGAAACTATTTGGGAAACAGGTGGGGACAATGGAAAATTCATTAGGCTAAATGTGTGCTTAAATCAACACAAAAGTTATCCCAGTTGTTTGGTTTTGGAAAGCAGTGCTATGGTGTTTAAAATCTCCCTCTTTTTTTCTCTCCCTTTCTTCCTTTCTCCCTTCCCTTCTCCTTTTTTTCTTCTTATAAAAAAATTAACATTCGATGGTTTATTTAGAATTTGAGAAACAGGAAAGGTGATTTAACTCTTTTTAGGTTATGAAGAGATATTAATGAAAGTCATGTAATTTTTTCCACTGTATAAAAGAGTAGAACATGTGATTTCAATGCAACAAAGGGATTTTAGTTAAATATAAGGGAAACTATGTTGTATCAGATCCCTGATCTGAGACAGTTCCAAGCTGGGTGCTTTCATATACTTTTTGCGTTTAACCCTTACAAAACTTCTCTTTGCCCCCAGTATATGCTAAACTTCAAGAAGAGGGGTCGTTTTCCTTGTCTCTCATATTCTACTGCAGCTTTCTGCCTTCAAATTATTATTTTAAAAAATATAGCCTATGTCTTGTTTGCATACTAGTTAAAATAATTTTAAAAAATGACATATCCCCTAACACATTTGAAAATTTATATCTGAATTTTAAAATTATAATTATTTAAATGGCTTAATTTCTGGTGTGTTGTAAATTTTGACATTTCAGTTTGAATGTTCTTTCATTCTTCCAAGTGTAGCCAATGAAATCTAATCCACAGCAATTTGACCCTCACTCTCTTTCATTAAAGAAAGATAAATGCAAGCTCTTTTAAAGAGTTGGAAATTTGCAGTATTCCTTTTCCTTCTGGAACCTGTGTTATCCCATTTTATTTCCCATGACAAATTTTATCCTATTTATCACTCTATTGTAGACTTTAGCAGATAAATGTATATACATGTTTGAAATTAAACTTCAGAAACTTTCTAATTAAAAGTAAAAGTAAGCCTGGACAACATGGCGAGATGCCATCTCTACAGAAAAAATACAAAAATTAGCTTGGCATGGTAGTGCACACTTGTGGTTCCAGCTACTCAGGAGGCTGTGATGGG